TGGTTCGACACGCAACTGTAAAATGACCGGCGCACGTCACAGAAGTCTTTGCACTGGTGACGTGTCCCAAGTGCGGAATCTACGAGTTGAGAGCAAGATGCAAATACGTGCGGTAGACGCGCACATACATCCCGCACCTGTCATGTGGTCGTATAAAAACGCCATTTCTGCGACGAGCGATCAACTTCAAGCACGATTTGGCGCGAAATATAACACGGCTCTGTTCAGATATGTTGCGTCGACAAAGCCGCTACAAGCACAAGTGCTACGCAGCAATGACAAGAGTTCAACTGCCGATCCCCACAGATTCAGGTCGGTTTGTCGGCAATTCTCACTTTCCAATACCATGCCTGCCTCCCTCGACACTATCCTTCCCGCGCCAGTGCTCAGCAACGCCATGAACAGCGTGCACTACACCAGCGACGACGACGTCGAGCTGCCCAACATCTACACGTACTTCCACGACTTTACCTTTGAAACGGACGCCAACATGGACGACATGGACGCCGTGTCGGTCTTTATTGCTGGCCTCGAATACCTCAAGCACCTCTTTATGACCTCCGCACCGCCGACGGCTGCGTAGTGAGCCTTCTCGACCCACGTTTGTACTATACAAGTATTATTTCAAGCAAAATGAGCGCGAGTTCCTTACTTTTCGACAATTTGTTGGAATTGGCTCGAGTGTCTGTATTGTGATTGAATAATTTTCAATCTCAAGGCCAAAATAGCCGTGAGACGCGTACCTTGCATTTAGGAAATATAGGACACTTGCTCGCATGAAATGATTGCTGACAATCCTAGTTCGCCAGTGTAGACTTGATAGCGGCATCATGGGCTTCGATTCATGTGATGCCCTAGATCTATCTGTCTTTAGATGTTACGACTTTAGCTTTTCGGAAAGAGCTATGGGTACTTTGGATATTGCGACTTTCACATTTCGCGAAAGAGCTAAATCCTGCAAACAGATACCACTATTGTTGTTGTTGTTGAAGTGGGTCGTCTATTAAAATAGATACGTAAATCTACGCTAAATAAAATTGTCGGACTTTCTTCGTTGTGTAGGCGCTGGTGATGATCTTGATCTAGGCCGGCGGAGGCAGGAGCGCGATCCGCGGGACAAGGTGCTGGCGCGGCCACTCGTGTTGAGCGAGGAGTTGGAGAAGGCGACGGAGAGCCATCTGCCCTGGGTTTTGAACGAGGCTGTGGTGCAAGTGCATTTGAGCGACACGCGCCGCCCCTATTGTTGTTGTTGCTGACAACAACGAAAATTACGCATTTTGTTATCCACTAAAATGCGTAATTTTCGTGAAGAACGAAATGGACTAGAAGCTGACGAAGATAAGAAGATAAGGTTCTTAAGGCTCTTGAACGAGGCAGTGGTGCAAGTACAGTTGGCCAATCCTTTGTCATCCTATTGATTTCTTCTT